GCTATTGAAGCGGCATTCATAAAAATGGACCGTGCGCAATTGCAGACGGCATGCTCGCGCTTTCGGAATAGGATTGAAGCGGTGATCGAGGCGCAGGGTGGATACATTGAGTAAAATGTCTCAGAAAAGATCCCTTAACCCAGCTATAAAGCAGTCTATTTATGTTTTTTCATATTTTCTGTAATAAACAACTTTTTCGAGAAAAAAATTTTTGTCCGGATTTAAGTGGCGGACCCTGTATTTAGTTTACTTTGATGTACAATCTTTTTTCTAAATTGTATATTCTCGACATGTTACACTTTTTTGTAGAACAGACTGTATCAAGAGTAGTTTTTTGTTTGAATATCAACGATATAATGTTTTAATCATATATTCTTTTTGTTATTTTAATTTTTCTTCAATTTCTAATGTACTTATCGTACAAAAAGAAAAACAATGAAAAATTATATTTTGTCAAAATATGTTACATGATAAATCCGTGACAGTTGTCTCTTCTTAAATTAATAAAAAAAAAAAGATATTTACACATATATACAATTTGTCAAAAGTTTCATATTTGACCCAATATATATCACATTGTTTTTGCATCTGACGTCAAATAAATGTAAATATAAATAAATAAATGTTTTTCTCTATTAGAACTATTAGAACTGTTGACTCTTTTCATACCTATTAATTTCAGATATACGGTTTTCGTCGAGATCAATTGCAGCAAGATTTTTCATGTTCTCGAAAGCGTACTTATGTAGCACAACTATCGTGTTACGTTTAAGACTGATCTCCTGGATACTGACGAGATTGCTAAAAGCGCGCTCGGCAAGTTCGTCGAGCTTTGCATATCGGAATTTGACAACGCGCAGATTGTTTAACTGGCGCAACATCTGACTGGGTACATAGTCAAAACTATCGTTGGACCGTACCGTGAACATTAATTGTTCAAGATAAGGTTGTGACGTAAAATAATTCCATATAGAATTGCTGTGCTCCAACTTTTCCAATATCAAACAACTGGCATTAATTTTGGTGGCATTTTGCACGTCAATGTTACCGTTGATAACAGTAGTACAATAGCAGATTATCGGCGTATATCGGTTTTCGATATTACAAATATCCACTTCCTTCGATTCTTTTGTTTCCTTGCTGATGTTTTTTTTATTGCCATGCGATTTCGAGGCTACCGAATATGATGATACAAATAAAATTGCTACTAATAATTCAATATTGAAGAAAGTGTACAGAGACGATCGCATTATGTAACCCTAAAACAGAAAGTTTCATTATTGAATGTTGGGAATTACAGCACAGTAATCTATACTTAAATGACTAAATATACACAAAATAAGATTATAATAATTATGATTATAATAATAATTCATGATATTTATTAGTCTCATTAATAACCCGGTAAAAAATATATTTTTACTATATTTTTAGAAAAGTTTTGATATATAATATATCATATATACTTATACACAAATTGAAATAATTATATCTAATTATGCAAATTTATATGTCAAATATGTCCATACAATTTTATACACGGAGGATTTCTTTTTTTAAGAGAATGGCTTCAGAGATATTTTATATCAAATTACAAAATAACTCTATTAGTATCGTGTCAGATAAAAAAAAAATTATATAAAACTATATTTTTACTATATCTTTAAAAAATTTTTGATATATAATTATATATATACTTATGCACAAATTAAAATTATTATATCTAATTATGCAAATTTATATGTGTGTGTGTGTGCCGAATATTCCATACAATTTTATACATTAAACATTTTTTATCGGGGCGTATTCTGTACATATATGTGATACATATTTATTATTTCAGCGTCTCGTTTCAAGTTTATATGTACATACAGTTGTAACATACATTTGTAACATACAGTTTTCATTGCATGTTCATTGTATGTACAATGTACCTATCAATTACCCCCGTCAATGGTTTATATTCACATAGTAGGCACTTTCGATATTGATCAACTAAGAGTTTCACGATAATGATAGTTCACATGTATGCCCGCACAGGCAATGAAAAGAAAATTACAAAGTTTGAACCACGTCCATATAATTGCAGCAAACTATATACAAGTGTGTAAAAAGAGAAGGGAGAAAACTCACCTTATATATATAGAAACAAAGTAGAAACTAACGCTTTATATTTGCACGTATATACACATCAAAAATTTATATATTGTAGTATTGACTATATATATAAGTGTAAAAGTTTTTAGTAGTTTTCGTGAATTTAATAGAAAAATAAAGACCAAATAATTTGATTAAATATGATTTATTAAATAATTTATACATTTTACTAAATAATTCTTATTTCTATTATCTTTTGTTGTTGAACTTGATAGAATAAATAAATCGTTTTTAATACAATTGCTTAGTCCATTTATCTATCAGAAAATCTATCAAAAATTTTGCGTTAACTTAATGTTTGAAAAAGTGGAAAAGAGATTTTAGAGAGTTTGTAAGTTTATTATCATTGTTGTGTCAAATTGTAAATGTTGATCGTAAATGTCACAACGCGTGACATATATCTTAAAATTGTAAACTTTCTTTTTCTTGGAAATTTTATTAATTTTAAGAAATAAAGATGAAAGGCTTAGATGTTTAAAAAACAATTGAAATTGTGAAAAGCCTTAAAACACTTTATTAATTTTCGTTAAAAATTGGCAACTGATTCGCCATCGTAGGCATTTCGCAAGCAGCCATTTTGAAAGGTTGAAACCGCCGCCGACAGTTTCACGCTCCGATCGGCCTAATGAAATTTTGTTAGGCGTCCCCTCGTACTGCCATTCGCCATCGGCTTAATTGTATAAATATTAGATTATGCGTGGGGTTCTCTCCGGTCGGCGGCTGGTAACGTAATTTTGAAATCTAATGCAAACTTTACATTTCAATAGACAAATGCGTATATATGCAGAATATAAATTTGGAAATGCATTAAAGCTTAATTTTTGGTTTTTGTGCGTGGAACTAATAATATTTCGAAATTAAACGCGATGTGATGAAATCATAAAAAAGTCTCAAAGACGTGTGAACTACGTTTAATAATTTTATACACAATAATAACAATATTTATTTGTTTATTAAATTTGTTTATAATATAACAAGACTATTTCAGTAGTCTCAAAGTGATATACGAAAAAAGAGAAGAATGTGATCTTTGTCATATTCTATTATTTCCTTCGATCTGTGGTACAGGAAAAGAGAAGGCGTGACAGACGTCGATTTATATTGAATTACAAAAGACGAAGAATTAGTGTTCGGCAAACGCAACTAAAGCTAGGAAATTAAATTTCCTGAGCCCAGATGTTTCATCAGCTTTTCATAAACAGACTGTTAGCCTGGCTCAACCTTCTATTTGATCTAGATAGAAAATTTAATTTATTATGCGATTGCTTCCCAACAAATTGTTTCTATACTATTGGATACTTCTTCTGCATTTTTTCTTTTTACAAAATAAACCAGAATAAAAACACTGCTGCTACAAACAGAGGACAATGTTAATCTACTATCTCTCCGTGTGTGCAGGCTCTTGTCTCTCCTAAAAATTTATATTTGTAATATTTTTGAAAGACAAAAAAAAAACAGTTTTTACATCTTCTCATTTTCAAACAAGAGTAATGATTTTTAAAAGCGTGCGACATTTGCTACATATGCGCAATAAAATTGAGATTCGTCTTCTCTCTATCTCCCCTTGAGAGAATAAAAGAAATTAAAAGGGGTTCATACAGAATCTAAACCTGGTCTATATAGTACTGCATTGTCCAAGCTCAAGTCGCACATCGATTGTGTTGTCTGCGATTATACTTCATAGTTCGCTTGTGCGATGCTCGCTCGCACGACGCATGCAAGTTTAATCTTGTGGAAGTAACATAAATGCATTGAAGAGTACGTACCCCTACCCCATAGTGGTGTCTCTGAATAATGCATTTATGTATACTCCGTGTCGACTATTTGAACATGTGTTAAGTATTAATAAAATGTGATAGTTTGTAAAATAAACTATTTTTTGTGCACGATCAATGATTTGAATCTGCAAAGCTACACCGAAACAATTTTATTCTTGTATTGAGGATATCCCACTTACTTTAAGTATATTTTATATACTAAAATAAGCGCCACAGAGAGTTTCTTATTTTAAGAGGAAAATCCTCTAAATAGTAATATTGATAAGAATATATACTAATTAGAATATAAAAAGCCTCTATAGAAAAACATATATATCTCACTATCAAAAAAGACTATATTCTTAAATTAAGAATATATTCTTAAATAATAAAGAATATATTCTTAATTTCAGAAGAATATCAGAAATTAATATATAATATATTCTGATTAATATCAGAAGAATATTATCTAAAATCTTTAAGAAGATTTTTTAAGTATAAAATCTTCTACTTACAAGAATATAATTTTTTCGGTGTATACAAGAAATTTTCGGTAAACTCAATTATTCTTACAAAATTACAGGACAGAGAAAGAGAAAAGGACAGAAAAAATGAAAGAAAGAAAGAAAGAAAGAAAAAGAAAGAAAGAGAGAGAGAGAGAGAGAGAGAGAGAGATTATTCTAGTGTGTGTTATGTTTTATTCATATAACTAAGTTTTATATACTGTGTGTGAGATTTTGTATTTATTTCGAAACATTTAACATAAGTCTCGGTAAAAAATTGTTCATATATACTTATACACAAATTAAAATAATTATATCTAAGTATGCAAATTTATATACCGAATATGTCCATACAATTTTATACATGGAAAATTTTTTACCGGGGTGTTACACTATCATTAGATAATATTTTAACACTATTGTACACAGCTTTGTTAGGGCAAAAATTCTAATTTGAATATGTCGAGATTATAATAGTTTTTATCGTAAGCCGCCAGACTTTTGTAACGACAGCATGATTCTAGACAAGTCTATCGCGTTTACATAACATATGTATTTTATTGGTTAATTGTTTTAGCTTTTTATCTTTTATAACTCATATAATATTTTAATTTTTTCACCGTAGTAGATACATATTTTTATCTGTTTTAGCGTATGTAAATATGCGCTGTTTTTGCACTAATTCTTAAACAATCGCGTATACACACATGCGCGCGCGCAGGTGTGTATGTGTGTACGCGTATATATATACATAGCACAGAAAGATTTTGTGTTTCGGCCAATAGGTTTTTTTTAATTAAACATTTACAAGTTAGAGAAAATAAAGACTCCGAAAGAAAAAGAGATCGTAAGTACATATGTTACAAAAGTCGAGTAGAGCACTCATGGTCTACTGCTCAAAACCACTGTTGTGCCAACACGCAGATGTTAAAAAGAGTACTAGGTGACCATATGGTGTTGACCGCGTGATTAAATTCAAATGCTATTCAGATCTCAAACGAACTTTAGCTTACATTTCATGGTACAATACATTTTTTTGTAGTTTCCATATCAAAAAACATCTCTTATACGATTTTGTTGAATTATTTTTTTATAATCAAATTGAAAATGATACGCCACAGAATAATTTCTGAAATAAACATAGCAAAGCACACAGAATATAACCGATATATATATATATATATATATAACATAACATACATATAGTAACATTTAATATAACTGGTGACATATTATACCAATGTTATATTTTTGTTAATAAGTCTATCGTATAAGTATTATATTCCTTTGTTGTTTATCAGTTACAATAAAATCCTTTTTTGTTACATTAAATCAGTTAATTGCATCGTACATAGCGTTGGTGTTAAGCAGCAGCTTTTTCCGCAATTAAGTTTGATTATATAAAACAATTCAAAACTGGGGATTCAGTGAACCGAAGTGAATACTTGGTAACGTATTTGAAATATCTGTTTCGCGAGACTCCAATAGACATCAGTTTTCTAATATTTCTATTAGTCTACCTAATGTATGATTATAAACAAGTGGATTAAATAAAAAATTTTAAAAAACTAGGAAAAAGTTAAGAAAAAATAAAACTTGTTTAAATTTTATTAAAATAAAGTTAGTTACTTTTATTAATAGAATTGCTTAATATTTTGTAATAAATATTTAATCAGTATAAACTTATGTAATTAATTAATGTCTACAATTGTGATAACAATGTAATAACAATTTAATAAGTAATGTAACATCTTAACCTTGTTATAGTGTTGTTATAAAGCTACAATTTTCAATGAGTGAGAAATTAAAATGTATACCTCTTTCATATTACTTACGTTTTATTTAACATATAAATTTAATATACTTGTTACACATTATCGGTTACATTTTGTTATATTATCAAGACAATATATACTAATTACATAATTGTTTGCTCTGCAGTTTTATATATGTAAAATATAACAACAAAATTATATCATATATTATCTTAGGCAGTCCAAAACACTAAAAAACATAAAAAACGATACTTTTTAAAGTCATTTTTTGTGTAACGCAAAAAGATATCTAAAAATGTCTTTTCACTACACGCGAAAAATCCGTTTACAAATTCTGTTATCTAAAAGATATCTTACAAAAGATAAATCTATTATTTTATTTGTTAAAAATCTAAAAATTCTTCAAAGATAAAACAGTTTGCTAGGTACTTTAATTTGTAGTACAACATGTACACTATAGTAAATATCTTTTGTTTATGGTTATCACAAAATACAAAATGAAAATTATTGCAGTGTATTTTTGAAGAATGTTTCATAAATTTATATATAAAACAAATTTCTCACAAAAGAGACATATTGTTTTGCTACAGCTTCTATAAATACTATTATCATTTTTTGATTTAACACAGCTTTAACATAATTATTACACGTACTCTAAAAATGTTATTCTATAATATTTTCTTAATGTTATATGTAATATAACGTTGTTTATATTATATAAAATTTTATTATAATTTTATTATAAATTTATTATAATTTTATTATAATTTTATTATAATTTTATTATAAATTTTATTTTTATATATAATATAAACAACGTTATATTATATACTATACTAAAATGTAGTTTAAAAATTAACTAAGAGTTATTTAAATGTTATTTAAATGTCTTGATTATCTTAGAGATTAGATCTACAAGATAAAACATTAATAAGATGTGACATCTTTTAGTCATTTTTTTGTCGATTATGTGCTATAAGTAAAATATGTAAAGAATAAATATATGTCTGCGCAAAAAATCTATCTACTATCTTTTAGTTATTTATGTTATTTTTTAGATATTTATGTACTGTCTGAGTATTTTGTTGCAGTAACAGACACAATTTTGTATTTTGTCGATTTCCTAAAAATATATAAGATATATTTTAAGATATAAACCTATAACACAATTATATATGTTACACGCGCATTGAACGGATATTTATCATTAAAAATGAAGTATAAATACAGATCTTATATGAAATAATTTTATTCTATATTTTCGACTTATGTTTTCGAGAAGAATCAGTCTTTTTTCAATTATATCTAAAGTATATCATAAGTACCCGGTAAAAAATTTTCCATGTATAAAATTGTATGGACATATTCGGTATATAAATTTGCATAATTAGATATAATAAGTTTTAATTTGTGTACAAGTATATATGATTATATATCAAAAATTTTTTAAAAATATAGTAAAAATATAGTTTTATATAATTGTTTTATATAATTTGTATCTAACATGATACTAATAGAGTTATTTTGTAATTTGATATGGAATATCTCTGAAGCCATTAACTTAAAAAAAGAATTTCTCCGTGTATAAAATTGTATGGACATATTCGGCATATAAATTTGCATAATTAGATATAATTATTTTAATTTGTGTATAAGTATATATGAAAAATTTGTTACCGGATATATTGTTATCCTATTACTGGTTTATTAGTTTTTGCAAAAAATATCTCTTTAAATATCTTTTTTCCGTAAATAGTTAGAACTCATATGTTATTTTTATTCTAAATATTTTTTCGACTAAATTGATTAAAATTAAAATCGATCTTTATATATAAAATATTACTTAATTCTCAAAAAAACAAAATATATAAAAAATATAGAAAATATATTAAAAATATATAAAAATATATATATAAAACTCTTACCAATCGTTAGCAGAGTGCAATCACAACTTAAAGGATCAGTTTTACAATATCAAATCTCACTTTGGTCACTTACACATTTGATATTCACCAAATATAAACCACGATCTTAGAAAGAAAAATATATATGTTCGGTTTTAATTCTTGTATCTAAAATCTAAACTGTAACACCCGCGTTTTACCTCCGGCTACGACGCCAAGAGAAGTAGTGAAAGTGGGAGAAATGCTATTGCTGTACTACAGTATACACAGTAGCGCAGCTCTCTGTCGGTACTTTTGATGCTCGCGTATAGATAGAAATGAATGCACATGCGCGACGCTGATGTTTAACCAATAGCACAGTGTACATAGGCTGCTTTCTTTATAGGAGACACAGGCTGCGGTTCGTTTCAAGCCTCTTGCACAATGCGAGGGAATAGTGATAGCGATAAGCAATAGACACAGAATTCCAACTCGTCGGAAAATTTATCGCTATTGCTTATTTCGTTTTTCTGATCTGCATTGATACATGTGTATTTTTGTATGTTAGATTTCGCTGTTCCTATCGTTATTTATGAATATAAACTCTTTAAAATTGGTGTTATTTCTATCGCTATCGCTATTCCGTCCATTGTGCAAGAGGCTTAAGGGGCTTAAGGGGCTTCACGCTTAAGCGCACATTTATCTATAGTATATATGACATATACTATAGATAAATGCGCAATTAAGCATGAAACGGACTGCGCAGCCACAGTCGACACAAAAGTCATTCTGTCTTCGTTCAGTATTCAGTGAGAAACAAAGACAGAATGACTCTTGTGTCGACTTGTGTCGACTGTGTCTCCTAAAGAGCCGTCTACAATGGAGAGTTTTAGGCCGTAATAGTAAGAAATTGACCAATCACAGGCGAAGTACAGAAGAATAATCGATTGTGATTTGTCAGTTTCTTACTGTTACAGTCTAAAACTCTCCATTGTAGACGACCCTTAAAAAGAAAGCAGCTATTGGCAGTACTGAAAAATCTATAATATATGTGACGTCAATCTATAGATTTTCACTACTGCCAGTAAAAAACGAACGCAGCCATAAGCTGCGTTCCGTTTCACGCATATTTTGCGCGCATTTATCTATACTATACGTGACGTGTACTATAGATACATGCGCGCATATGCGTGAAGCAGAACGCAGCCATAGTCTTTGGGTGCGTTCAGACAACTCAACGGTTGAGAGATCATCACTTATGATAGGACTATTCTTCAAAATCTGCTGCGGTTCCAAAAGTGATGATCCAATCAGAAGTGATTATCTCTCAACTGTTGCGCAACTGTCGAGTTGTCTGAACGCACCCATTCTATTTTCTTTAAGAGCCGTCTACAATGGAGAGTTGTAGGCCGTAACAGCAAGAAATTGACAAATCACAATCGATTATTCTTCTGTACTTTGCCTGTGATTGGCCAATTTCTTACTGTTAGGCCTGTTCTACAATACAGTCGTAAGTCGTAAGTCGTAAGAAATTGACCAATCACAGACGAAGTACAGAAGAATAATCGATTGTGATTGGTCAATTTCTTACGACTTACGGCTTACGACTGTATTGTAGAACAGGCCTTACGGCCTACAACTCTCCATTGTAGACGGCTCTTTAGGTTGCTAACCACTGTATTTAGAGGTTGCTAACCACTGTAGTCGGAGAACGTCCTTAACCTCTGTTTTTAATTTCTAATATTTTCTCTATTGTGCTTAAGGCCCTAAATATTTTTTAATAAATTTTAAAAAATAGAAATTTCTTTTGAGAAAGAATGGACACAAATGTTTTCTACAAATCCGGAAAATATTTTGCTCAAGGTTATTCACGTTTGATGATATCGAATCGGTAAGTTGTATGCATTTATGAGTGATGGATTCGAATATTTTGAATCTTTCAAATCGTATGTAATATTATAAGTACACAACAAAACTTTTAAACTAAAAATACTATCTTTATAATGAATTTTCAGTGCAAGTTGTGTATATAAAGTGTCATAAGAAAATTTTTCACATTTTTATACTTTAGATACTTTGATTTAAATTGTTTACAAATTTTTTTACACTTATATAATTATTTTGTTTTATTTAAAAAATAAGGTTTATATCACGCATAGTTCCAAGTTTGCATATAAATTACATATGTGTATGTTTCTTTTTTTTATGTTGTGACATTTCTAGAAGATCTGTTATGTTTGTTGAAGGAACAGGCTAAACACACGCAGAATCAATTTTATTGTGCTATGCTAATTGAATATTGGATTCTCTATTGCTGTGATGGAAGATGTAGGCGCTACCATTTTCTACGACGATGAAGATGATTGCATGGATTATGAGTGTCTGCAAAACAATGCGGAATATGATTACGACTATGTGGACATGGAGAAAGAAACTCTCCACGAGTTATATCAGAATTGTCTTAGTCCTAGTCTATATGGTACAGGATATTACCTGTTACCTTTATTGGGTAGCACAATCTTGTTCAGATTGTTTGTTCTTACTCGTACGATTCTTTTCTCTTCTACATTATAAAACTTATATACTTCTCTCCTTTTATTAAGTTTATTCACGATTACAATGAGTCTTTGTTATTTCAGAAAAATACATATCAAACTGGATATTTCACATATTATCTGCAATCTTAGGCTTGTTTGTTATCGAGTATTATGTACAGGAATCCTTTCCTGTAGTGATAGCATTTGTTTTATTATCCTATAGTATTTTATATATGCCAGAGAAATGGCACGGCAGTGTGAGAATTTTTATTCCATCTTTAGTGATACTTGCATATTGGTATGCTTACTTAACAAATAATACAAATTTTCTCATTGCATTATATATTAGTGAATAAATGATATTTTCACATGTTGTTTAGTGAATGTTTGATGCAACCAATTGTATGGCACAAAGTACGCAGTGTCATCATGATCATGGCAATGAAGGCTATTAGTGTGGCTGTCGATACACATGGTTCGAATAGCAATGTGCCAGATTTTTATAGCTACGTGGGTTATATGCTCTGTAGTGTAACATGTATTTTTGGACCATGGATATCATTTAAAGATTACTTCTCGCTGCGTTACTTTAATACTCAGGTGCGTCGCTGTCAATTTTATTTTACTACTGCTAAACAAGAGATTTTTTTCTAAATTGATTAAAAAAGAAAATTAGTCTTTTTAAATGATAAAACTTTCCCACGAGAGTGAATAATGAAAATCTATTACAGATAAAATGGTCGATACTATGTGGTATAGGATACATCTTTCTTTCTCTTGTCTTCCTAAGCATTTCCAACTGCTGGACAGAATGGATATTTGTGGATAACTCTTGGAAGTGAGTACATGTTACAATTTATAATATCAAAATATTTGTCTAATATTTAAAATCTTGTTTAAAAAAGTTAGTATCCTCACATTTCAGATGGTTGGTAGCATATAAAGATGCGTTATCTTTCCGATCGTCCCACTACTTCGTTTCGTATTTAGCTTCGGCGCTATTAATTCTGAGCGGATTCCCCGTTTCATCGTCAACGATAGTCAAGCCGTTGAATATCGAATTCCCAAGATCGCTCGTTCAGGTTGTCGTTTATTGGAACATGCCTATGCATTTCTGGCTAAAAACTTGTATGTATAAAAAAAATTTATATATTCAAAAATTATATAAATATTTTTTTCTAAAGTGACAAAACGTTATAGAGTTTGGGATGTTTTATTTTTTTTTTTTTTCATAGATATCTTCCGTCCTGGTATTAAGAAGTTTGGAAAATTTGGCGCAGTAACCATCACATATTTGATAAGCTCTCTTTTACACGGATTGAACTTCCAACTGGCATCGGTGTTACTTAGTTTAGGGTTTTATACATACGTAGAATTTCAACTCAGGGCTATTCTTGCCGATACTTTTGACGCATGTGTCGCGTCTAAAGAGTGCGTTAAGCAAAAATGCACTCACAAGTACAATTCTTACAATTCGTTCGTGTTTGTAACAAATCTGATATTTGCCGGATTGGCAATGTTTCATCTAGCTTATCTAGGTCTCATGTTCGATACGTCCGACGTACAAGAAACTGGATACAGTTACAGTCATACCATTAACAAGTGGACTGAACTCGGATTTGCTAGTCACTGGATAGCGCTGGCCACATACTGCGTATATTTTTTAATTAAATAACTAATTTTATATATATATATATACAAAATACAAAAGTATTTCGTAAAACAATTTGTATTTTAACGCATTTTTATAGAAAATAAATCGACATACGTACACAAAGCAAAAATGTAGATTGTTAAACAATCCTCTTTGTTTATAAAGCTTAAAAGGATGTAAATAATATAATAGGATAAATTTTTCATTGCTTTTATATAACACATTTAAAAGATAAGTAAAATACATATTCTTTATTATTTTAGTGTATAACGCAATATATATAAAGTTCACTGGGTGATTTTTATATGTATAAAGCACATTTAATATTTTGTGTGTAATTATAAAAAAAGTTTTTATAAATTGTGTAAGTATATGTAACTATGCATATGTAGGTATGTATCTATGTCATACGTACGTGTATATATGTGCATATGTGTTATTTATATATACAGTATTATATATAATTGATT